AAATGAAAAAACTGATTTAAACACCAAAACCTCCTTTACAGGCGTTTCCCATATTCCTATATATTCCAGAGCTTTCCCACTCGCGGGGTAACTTCGCCATTATAGCGAGGTCACTTTGCCACATCAGTCAAAGCTTTTCGCCTCTCTCTTCGCTGAGGGAGGGCTAGAGATGATGACACAGCTGAAGACACCCATACAGTTTGTCGAATCGATCAATGCACTCACTATACATTTACTTAAAGGTACACGGGCCTTATATCCACGAACATCGTCTTAAAAATTATATATCCATCAAACACGCTGTAAGCATGTGTAAGGTCCTCTTACAAATGAGGAAAATATTTGACATACAGCCGCACGTGCATCATTAACAACATTGATTAATGATACTGTGCAATTTGAAGTCTACCTATAATACGTACATAACAAGTACTTTCTACTCTCCTATAGAGTGATGGAGGTGGGACAATCCTGTTTRAATCTCTACCGGCCATCGATAGGGATGCTGGTTCGAATGGAYGCATAACGTACTCTATGTCGGGTGCAGACGACCGATTCATATTAAATAGTGACACTGGTAGGCTCCAGATCTCTCCGACTGGTCTTGACCGTGAAATTAAAAGTAGCTATGACCTGGTAATTRATGTAACAGATGCAGGCTCACCACCACGACAGGTACGTCAAATGATCATACGAATACTTCAACTTCAACGAATACTTCTACTCTTAATGTCATAGTATTTAAAATGAAGTTAATGGAATATGAAAAAATGGAATATAGTACTTCCAGAAAAAATAGCAAAAATTACTTTCCTCGTAAGAAATACCAACAAATGCAGAATCTTTTACTTATATTATAATGGAAAGAATGAAAGCCCTTAGTCTTAGTGTGAGTGTTAGTATTATACGTAGTATGAGTATCATAATTCAACAAATTTCTTAACTTAGAAAGCAAAAGACAGTAGTTCAGCATCCTGSATGGGGTAGGTGCGAATGAAGGGGAGGGTCGCACGAGGTGCACRCTCCTCCTTARATGATCTGATATCTACTGCGTTATTGATGCTTGAGTTTGTGAACGTCGAATCAAAAATGGTGCACCCCTTCTAAAAAAATCCTGGGTCAGACACTGGTGGGTTTGGACTCTTGATTGCGGTTTATACATTCATATCATATTACGGATCCAAGGTTTATTATYATTTCTATTTTTCTTTTAGAATTCCACCACAATACATGTGGAAATACTGGACACCAATGACAACGCACCAGTATTTGACCCCAAACCATCAGAGGATTCCTCTGCTTACATAAAAGAAATAAATGAAGGGCCGAGTACGTTAAACACTGTCATCATTCAGTTGAACGCTACCGACCAAGACGAAGGCCTCAATAAGAAGATAATYTATTCGTTGACAGGAGACGAGCATGGCTTCTTCAGTCTGGATAATACAACGGTGAGAATTGTAGATTTAAAAAATTCATTTTCAGGTTCAGGGAAAACCAATTCAAACCAATAAGCCCACTTAGTTAAGTTACATAGATCCTGTACCAAAGAAAGAAGGTGCACGTGACTTGCACACKTTTATATGACATTTAGTTCGGWAAACACAACGACAATTGTTTCCGCTATCTTTTGTTTCCAGCCTATCAAAAATTGGCATTATTTTTGCAGTCCTTTTTCCCATCATCTACAAAACTTTGGAATTCTYTAGATTTTCAAACAAGAAACGCAAGCTCTCTTTAGAAATGAATTTTAAAAATGAAATTAATGGTAAGTTAATCGGAATGTCAAAATATAATAAGCTGTATGATTACTCTCTTTCGATGGCTGCATCAATTCTTCATTCAAGATTTAGATTAGGTGCCTGTGCACTAAATGAGTATTTGTTTAATATAAACTGTTCTATGTCGCCCAAATGTAGATGCGAGATTGATAAAGAAAATGTTTTGCATTTTTTCTTTTTATGTCTCCACTCCATTCACACCAAGGCTTAAACATGTTTTAAGGTGGTTTAACTAAACAGGTTTGGAAAACTCTCTACGAACACTGCACAATCTTTGGTAAAATAATGCATGTAAACTATCCTTTGTCTTACTCTGACAATATTTTAGAAAGTTTTATTATATTGTAGGTTTCTAGTTTCTCATTTTTTTCTCAATGAAAACATAGTTTAACTAAACACGTTTAGGTATGAATGGGGTACTTAGTCTTACCTCAGCTGCACTGATTTGTGCTAGTTTGTGGCAAAAAAAATAAAAATCATCAAACCGGCAAAAATTGAGTTAGTTTCTTTTTGGTCGTAATGAATTAAGTTTTGAGGATAACCATAAGCTATTTGAAGAAGTTCAAAAGTACATTCTGGCCAAAAAAACGTTTTTCTACAACAATGATAATGCCCTTCAGTAATTAATTGTATTATGTACTATACTGTCGTACTTGTCAAATTTTGATTTTCTTTACTTCTTTTAAACTCTTTTTGTAACTTAGTTTACTGTAACTAACTGWACTAGATAACACATTTCCACGTGCTTGTAAAGTTTTTTTCCTTTGTTTATTATGATAGATGTAAGCCCMCGCGAAAAGTTTCTATGCTTTTGGGCCAAACATTATGTTAAATATGTTTAAATAAAACAAAATTGGCATTGCTTATATGTAGCCTCCAGAAGGGGATTTCTAGTTGTCTATGAAGGGCTCTCTTCTATACCTCTGGCTCAAATTATTTTAGATCTAGATCTATATAGTGTGATAATCGCTTGGTGATAGAAATCCTAGCTTTAATCATGGTTTTAAGGGAAGATGAGCGATTGGTTCGGTTCGTATGAGCTCGTGAATATGGTGGCCACTATAAATTCTTTAGTATCAATCAATACGAGTCGTACCCTGGGTGCCAGAGGCAATACAAGTCGATGAAGAGGAATGGCATTTCTTGAGGTGTCTCATATTGTATGTGTATTCAACGATGCCTGATGGGTTCATATTAGACTTATGTTGGGTTAAGATTATGTCGTATATCTTCCACTGCTTCTATACGTTTGTTCTTAAGCATATTAAACTTAATACTGTAAATGAATATATTTGAGATATTATACGGCTTTTTTAATGAAACAAATAAAATAAAATAAGTACGGGACTAAAACAAAAACATACAAAAGTTGCATTAATTAATATATAAAGTGTGTTGCATAACACAAATTTCTCATGTAAAAATCCTTAACTCGTCAATTCTTTCATATTTTCTTCTTCTGCTATTTTTTGCAATTTTAAAAAGGTCTTGCTTGTTGTCTGGTTTTTATTCATCTAAGGAATAGATATTATTTCATTTCTGGTATTTGACCTTTAAGTTCATTGTATAGTTTGGACTTTTACCCGGACTTTCAATAAACGGGTTTTCTGTTGCATGTCAAGTCTCCTCCACACACTGCGCATGATACAAATAAAACTTATCTTAAACGACTTCTTTTTTACCAACTTGTGATTTTAATTTCCATTGCAGCTCTTGATATTTTCGAGCTTAAATTTTTGACGTTGTAGGAATAAACACAAGTATATACGTTAAAGACTTTTTTCATGGAAATTGGTTAAATTCAATTTTACTTCATCATCCTAGTTCCAGTAAGCAAAGTATTTCTTCAGTTCAAATTGTAGTACCCTTTATGCCATCCATGCCTTTTCACCAGTAAGTTAAGCATTCTTCAAGCGAACTTCACAACATGCCGCTGGATAGAACACAATTTTTGTCAGCACTATTAAAGCGAAGCATCCCAGGACGACCACCACCACACTATACTCAAACAAAACCTCGTCTTTTGATAGCAGCCTTGAAATATTGTACTCTTGAGAATGGATGTTCATATCGTCTCTTTGCTCAGCCATCGGAATTTTTCGATGTTCAACTAGTCCTTCCAAAAATACTTGAAAGATAGCTTGGATGCGTCTTGATCAATGTCTTGGTAAAGGTACTTTGACGTTGTTGTTGCCTCTCAAAAATTTCTATCTTTATAGAACCAATAACAGCGGGGTGTTTATAAAAATAGACTTACTGTAGTGTTTCTTGCTAAAATTAAATCAAAATCTGTTGTGTGATTTCTTTCCTTGGTTTCCTAATTAAGTTTCCGTGCTGAACGATGAGTGTTTAAATCCAGATGCTGCAGCTCTACTTTTCCATCGATCCGCTTAAACTTATTCAAGAATCAAAGGTCAAGCAATAGTGTCTGGAAAAGTATCCCTGTCCAGACAATACCTGGCTTGTTAGTTTTTGGGTGATTGGGAAATCCTTTGTTTCCAGTAATATTTCTTTCAGATGGCCACTGTTCCAACGCAATTAAGGCAAATCCAATAGTGGTTATTATTATTCTGATATTTAAACCCTTGAAGTGTCTATTGTTTTAATTGCTGTCCAATTAAATTGAAGAAATGCAGACTTTACAATCTATTTTTAAAATTTACTAAAATGCATGTACAGACGGCAAGATTGTCGTGAAATCGGCAAGGTTGATAAAAATGAGAGTCAGTAAGACTTACTTTAGCATGTTATTATTATATTGGTATATTTGGCAATAGAGACCGGTATTATTCAGTCTGTTATTAATTATTT